AAAGTGTTCACAGCATGTTTGGCCAAAAACATGTTTTCTCGTTTATTCTTGAAAGTGTACAATGCCTTTACTTTTATTCCTTCTTCGTTACACACTTCAACGTGTGCCGTCAAAAATTTTTGGGTTTGTTCTTTTCAATTTTGTTTTATACGATGCCTCGTCTCAGTGATGCGCAACGTCTTGAAGCTCTTGGCATGCTGAGAGCTAATGCGACGGTTTCTGCTGTCGCTAGAGCTTTCAATGTGAAGAGAGATACGATCCAAAAGCTAAGGATACACTTCCAAGTGGTTCGGTTAGTGACACTCCAAGGTCTGGTCGTCCTCGTGTCACTACTTTTGAAGACAATCGGATCAGAGTTCCACACTTGCAGGATCGGTTTCAAACAACTTCTAAAACTGCCAGAGATTGCCCTGGGCTTAGACCAATCAGCTGCTTCACTGTTCGCCGACGCTTGAAAGCCCACGGAATCGTTGGCCGACACCCAGCTCGACGCACTCGTCTCCTAAAAAGACACCAGTGGAACAGAGTGATGTTTTCTGAAGAGTCCAGATTTCTTTTGGATCGCCACTATGGAAGGCAGAAAGCCTACCGGAGACGTCATGAACGTTATTTATCTCAGTGTGTCAGTGCTGTTCAACAGCTGACAAACGTAGCATTATGTTAAAGAAATCCATAACCAGTACTGATGAATTCGATTTATTCATTATTGAAGGTAATCTGACTGCTTAGAGATACATCAATGACGTTCTCTATCCTCACCTTCTGCCGTTTTTGCCACAGGAACAATCTCGTGGTCCATCAGGACAACGCACCAGCCTTTGTTGCCCAGAGATTCTTACAACAAAAATGACGTACGTGTTATAACACAGTTCCCAGTATTATTCCAAGCTTTAAACGTGATTGGACAAGGAAATTCGCAGCCTTCGGCCACCCCCAACGACAATCCCATAACTGCAACAATCATAAACAAATGCTTGGAATTATATTCTCTAGCAATTTATCCAACGACTTGTGCAATAAATTAGGCAGAGATGTACTGTAGTCATCAATGTTGGTGGAAGTTACACCCGTTACTAATTCTGGGATTTTGAACATTCGAATCGGTGTTATGAATTTCTAATAAAAGGTTTTTCTTAGGGGTTTTTTCTGCCCTTATTGAAAAAATGGCAAGCCTTTCAAAATCCATAGGCAATACGTCATTACAACATTAAAGAACGGAAATAATGCACGGAACGTAGGGTGCCCACTTTCTTTTGCTCGTCAGTATATTATGTGATTTGAAGAACACATTTATGATAAAATATATATCAAATAAACTCACGGGATACCGTGGCTATTCAGATCATATTATAATCCAGATGTTGACCATTTTCCTCCACGCAAAATTGAATAGGCATCTTAAATTGTAAATAACCCGTGGTATGGTTCGGTGTTGATTCTTTGGATTTCATGCTCAAATTGAGTTTCAACTGTTTGGTTATTTGTGAATTGTTTCCGTAGACTCTGTCAAAAAAAACACCCGAATATGCCATTGCTTACTGTGTGGGTGCATCTACGACTTGTGCGAGTCACAGCTTGTAATATGCACCATGATTTTCTACCCGCCCAATAGTAACAAAACGTCGAGGCTCGCACCAATAATTTTCTTAAGAAGATGACCATTGATGTTGCTCTCGAGGACTCTATTCCTTTTTTTCCAATCACTCCCTTCCACATCTGGTAATTAGAGCCTACTCCGGCACTGAAGTCCCTGGGAATGGCGAATGTATCTCTCGTAGCTAACGTATAGCCACGAGGGCTTCAAAGTCCACATAGAAATTCCTCATGACTTTCTCAAGATTCGTCGGCCTAGGTTGTTTTTCTCCGTTGTATTTCGACCATGACATGTGTGGTCAACCTTTCTATACAGCCGTGAATGCTGGATAATCACTAAAGACAGGAAAAAATAAAAATAGAAGGAACAGAAAAGCAACAGTTTCTTAAACTATTGGGAATTTCTGGAGAGAAAAAAAAAGAAATCAAATGAGGTAATACTTGAAGAATCCCACGTGGGCCGCTCACCAATAATAATAATTTGGAAGAAACAAATTATGTAGTTTCAGGGACACTTGATTAAATATAAGTCCCTTGGACGTCTAGCTTCCCCTGGTAAAATTGAAGGTAAATGATACAGGGATAGACTCAGAGCACTTACTTTGAAAGGCCAAACAGATGGGAGAAGGGAAAAGATCAGAAGGGTAATATATCTTTTTAAGAGCATCCAAGCAACGGAATGAATAGCGAATCGTGAACGCTGATGTCTGCCGCAAATGTTGCACTTGATGATGGTGATTTCTGCAGCATGGATGGGACCCCGCCAAACGTAGTAAACTTACTACAGTGCGGTCAAAAATTCGTGGCGCAACTAATTGTCAAATATCTCCTCAACTATCGAACATACCAGCTTTTGCTCAGTTACTTGTATCAATTTGTGTTAACAGATCAATATGTTTGTAAACACCTGTTAGCTCTACTTTAGAAAATTCCTCAATAAATACTAATAAAAAGTCCCAGGGGGTGGTTTCTACTGATCTTTAAAGGTTTACGGCTGGAACAATATCGCTTTTAAAAGCAAGTCCGTCCTTTTTTTTCTAATCGTGAGATGATCTTTACTGAACGCATGATTTGAGAACTTTTAGTGCAAAAAAGTGTTCACTATAAAATTAATTCCTTGTAACTAGATCCAGTTCTGCCATTAAAAAGTGCCCGGGGCGGTGCCACTGGCTGAAGTGTCGTTTGGCCATTCCCAAAGGGGGGACATTTCTCGTTCTTATGCACAGTATAATTGTAAATGGGCTGATTCAACAATGTCTTGCTCATAACTGTGTCTGAACTACAACAGGGAACTGCTTCGTTTTCTTTCCTAATCCTTAATATCGTCATTTCCCTCTACTTCTTTTGTATGTTTGTCACACTCTTGTGACCCTCTTTTTCGGGGGTGCCTTGAAAGTCGAAACAGACTTTGTTCTGTTGAAGCTAGAGAGGTGAGTACAGTAAGCCCGCTTCCCTGTAAGGACTTCTCTGTTGACATCCACCCCTTGGCGCTCATAATATGACCTTATGCAGTTTCAGGTGCCATAAAACCTCTCCTATAAAGAAAAGTGCCATTGGTTCCCTGTTACGTAAGCTATAATATTATGCAAAATGTGTGTGAGAAGCGAGAAGTGCTGTGAACTATTCCATTTTCCGTCAGAAGGAGACTTGTAGCATTTTATATAAATTAATGAAGAAAAGTCTTTTAATCTAGCCTCAATGGTTGTGGAAAAACATGATTAAGTTAAAACAAATTGGTAAAAACTGGTTTGAAAAGTATGGATGACAATGAATCGTTAAAAAGATATTTGAGGATAAGTTGTGCCAAAAATTTTTGATCGCACTATATAGGGTGTGACGAAGTAGGTTATGCTTGGGAAAACCTTTTCTACTCCGTTCCTGGTACCATGCAAGTGAGCAGAGCGAATTGTAAAAAAAAATTATTTTTTTTAAAAACCTTTCAACGGCAGAAGGTCATTGCAAGTGGCCTTTCCTTCTCAACAGTGTCCATAGCAGCACCTTCCTCTGGTGTTCCTGTTCACACAGACGCTGCCTTCAGAAGCAGTTGGATCCTGTAGCTGCATAGTGTGTAAATTTTATCCCCATCCGTATAAATTTTTGTATTCTTGGTCTAACGTTAAGTCGCTTTTCGGACATCCCTTCTAGATAACCAAATTCCAAATCTTGAAGGCAGCCAACCAAATGACTCTCTCTCTCTCTCTCTCTCTCTCTCTCTCTCTCTCTCTCTCTCTCTCTCTCTCTCTCTCTCTCTCTCTCTCTCTCTTTCTGTCTCTCTGTGAGTATCTGGATGGCTCTTTGTCTCTCTCTCTCTCTCTCGATCTATCTCTCTCTCTTTCTCTCTCCCTCTTTTTCGCTCTTTCTCTCTCTCTCTCTCTCTCTCTCTCTCTCTCTCTCTCTCTCTCTCTCTCTCTCTCTCTCTCTCTCTGGCCCCCTCTCTCTTTCGCACACTCGCTCACTCCCTTTTTTCTGTCTCTCTTTTTTTTTTTCTTGCTTTCTCTTGTCTTTTTTCTCTTTCCCTCGTACGTGTATGTGTTTATAGCCCTGTTTCTTTCTCAGCTCTGTGTTGAAAGTCACGCCACTAAAGTCAATCAGGTCTCAGAAATTTATGCGAAGCTAACAAGGGACATAAACATAGTATTATCGTGTGGGAAAAAAGCGATAACGTCCCTTCGTAGGACGAACTAATAACGTGCTCAAGGTATAACAACGTTGCAATGCAAACGAGTGTAACACACTCTTACTACAAAAATAGAAGATTTCGAATCCAAACTTCTTTTTAACACCTTTGACAAGTGTCCTACTTCATGCGTAATTTTTTCAAGAGGAATAATATGATCCATGCAATCGGAAAAACAACAGTACAAAAGAATTATAACAACAACGACAACAACAACGACAACAACAACAACAACAAGAAGAAGAAAACAAAGACAACCGTCAAGTGCTCCAAGCGTCTGTACGCATCAACAGCCAAAGCACCATGTTTAAAGCAAGAATATGAAGCTAATAAAGACAGAGGAAACGCCAACGGTTGTGGCGCCTCTAATAGCATGGTTGTTACGTTGCCGGGCGTGAAGTCGTGGAATTGTGTCCAGCTTCAGCTTGGTCCTACGTTGTGTCCTCAGAATAAGTCACTACGCACGCATTTTACCATTTGATTCAGTTCTTATTCAGTTCTTATCTGAAATGGACGAGAGATTCGGAGGTCTCGCCTCTTGACTAACTTGACAGTGGTGTAAGGGGCTTTAAACCTAAACCATTTTGCACATGTTTTGAAAAATGTTATAGTGATCATTTTCCTACAATTTTTTAAATTTCACGAAGAATGTAAATGAGATTTGGTTATCAAATCGCAGCAACACACAAACCGTTTGAAAATCCTGTCTTCCTGGGCTAATATTATTTAGTCAACAGAGTTTACAAAACTTTCTAAATTTTGTATTGTACCTGTAGTAGATGAAAATGTTGACAGCACTATTGATTTGCTCGCACACGCGTCGCATGAAATGTCCAGCATAGTACATTCGTGCGTACCTGTGCTTGCCCCAGATAGCATCAAACTCTGGCTCCGTCATGCCGAACACACCGACGAGAATCATGGGCATGTTGAACACGGCAAAAATAACGGAGATAAGGACGACTTGTTGTACAGCCTGCAGTTCTTTACCCGACAGTTTGACGCTGCTGCTGCTGCTGTTGGCGTCTCCCGCCTCCTTTCCGTCAGCTTGGCTTTTAGTTGTCTGTTGTCTGAACCGGGAGGATTGAATAAGGTTCCAGGTCATGACAACGATGCATACAATGACGATAATCTGAGTGCCGAAGGGGATGACGTCGTGGGTGATGAAGTATATGATGTCTTTGACTTCTTCCTGGCCCTGATTATACCAAATGGTGTAACGCGTGCGGTTAAGCACTGGGTTAAACGTTACAGAAATGCCAAGACTGTTAAAGACTGGTGAGTAGATTCCAACACAAAACACGAAAAACACAATGAGAATTGCTATGGATCTAGACTTAGTAAAGACGTGTTTGAAGTGCAACGGCTTCGCAACACACATACATCTCGCCACGGCGAGGTAAAGAGTGGTCAGTATAGTGACCATGTACAGGGCTATTCCGGCGTTAGTGAAGAACATGACGAACATTAACGGGTCGTAGGTGTAGCGTATTCCCAGGGACAACTCTATGGCATGGAAGCTCATCGAGATGCCGATGCAGAACATGATGATGGATATGAAAAAATCAGAAATGGACAGGCCGAGGAACGAAACTGTGACAGCATCGTCGACACCCATCGTAACAAATGTTTTGATATTCAGAAAGTTGGAACCTATACCTAGGACAGAGAAAGCGACTCCAGCGTATGCGTTCACGTGCTGAAAGATGGCAAAATCTTCATCACTGAGAAGACCTTTCAGTTCTACTTTTGGGAGGGACTGGTTACTCATCTTATCTTTTTCCTGTCTTGGATTCTGTCTTTGAAGTTGATCTTTGTCCGTGCGTGTCACGCAATTTTTATACTGAATAAAAGAAAATGAAGTAAGTCCAAGTTTAATCCCTATGTTCTTATTTTAAGTTAGTGGCTACACGGAGACAGGTACCATACAACACACAACTCTCTGGAGACCGATAGAAACTGTCTCTTCTCACCTAGAGAAGAGTGTCAAAACTTTCATGAACCGGATGAATGAGAAACTATTAAAGAGACGTTCTTATTGGCGAGGAAATGCCATCTCGTAACTCTCCAGCTTTATACAAGGTAAGTAGGGTTGTGATTGAAGGGTGTAAACTACGTACAGTTAGCTGAAAAGCCGATAATTTTGATTTTAAAAAATTGATGGTAAAGGTCTATGTCTTCTAGTTTCAATAACGGTGTAGATTTATTGGTAAAGAAAGGGAGGGACTGATGCCCATTGTACAAAGAATAACTATTACTGGTGTTTGAGTATTCACCATAAACGTCTGAAGTAATACTCTGACTACATTGTCTTCGACCTTTCATTTATTTTTCAGAAGCCATACATAATTACTTACGTACTTAAAGTTGCGTCTTTTTTTTGTCTTTGTTGAACTAATCTAGCCATGAAATGGGTAGCTTATTTCGAAATCACCACCAAAAATATACACGAAAAGCTTTAAAGAATTCTGAATAAAGAGGTTAATTGCCTCCACTTCGAGTAATAGTCTTTGGGGAAATTGTTGGAGATGTCACGATATTGAGGATAGATTGTTTTGGAAATATGGGATAATTATATCAATTTAGAATAGATAACAGGTTAGCGAATGTTAAAATTGCACACTTGAAGAGGTGTCAATCATACACCAATTATTGGTCTTTAAGAACTCGTATTTCTTGGGGTTGTTTTGTGTGGTAACCCCGGGGAATTGTATCGTAACGTATTTAGTCATTTGTTTCAACACGAGTAAAGACGTGTTCTAGTGTTGACTCTCAAGTCTACTTTGTTCTGTCATTTTTTATATTAAGTCGATATCTGCTTTATTTTCTGTATGCTGTCATCGTTCGCTGGTTTACCGCTGTCAGGGTGTTGCACTTAAGGTTGTCGAAAGAAGACATATAAAATATTTAAATTGATCTCCTTATTTTGTATATGGCCAGAAGCTTTGAAGTTTATTTTTTTCGTTGATGGTCTTGTGGTTAGGCTGTTGGGTTCGCAACCGAAAGGTCGTGGGTTCGATCTCCGTCAGGAGCCCGACGTTGTGTCCTAGGGGAAGACACTTTATACGAATGCGAATTTTTCTCACTACACCCAGGTGGAAATGGGTAACACCGTACCAGGGTATAGATATCGAAAGATGTTATCAGTTTGTCAGTGTCTGAGCGCTTTATCCGCTGGTTACCCTGTATACTTTTTGGGAAGCCGAGCACATTGTAGGGTCTGCCTGGGTAATAATGTAGATTGTAAAGCGCATAGATCTTGCCGTTGAAAGGGGATATGTGCTATACAAATGCTATTCACTAGTAAAGTTGTGCAATAAAATTTCTATCACCTTTTCATTTGTAGAGATTATTGTTACGATTCTTGAGTAGGTCCACGTTTTACTATTTGTCGCTTAATCAATCTTTTGCTTTCTTTTTTTTATCTGTCATGCCAGGACTTAAGTTTGTACTTTGTTGTTTTTATATGTTCATGTGTTTTGCGAATTGTCAGGTCTTTTCGACTAATGTTCAATTTGAACATTCTTTGGCTTTGCAGCGTTATTAACTGTTTTGGTTCTTTCTCCGTAGAAGAAGTTTCCTCTGAACTGATTCACCTTATTTGTATTTGAATTGTTTTCTTTTTTAAAGTTATTGTCACAATGGCAACGTATATTCTTTCTCCCTTTCTTTTCATCAGCCCCATCAAATCCAACGTGAAAAATGAAAGAGTCGTTACTAGGAAATAATACAAACATTTTTTTCAACCTAAAACAGCTCAGACTTTTCGAAAAGCTAAAAAAGTATCCGAACTACAAAAGCAGTTTTTTTTAAGCTGTTCTTTATTTTTTTTCTCTCAACTATATTATAACTCATTTTGTTACAATTGAAACATTACCCATGCCTCTGACTCTGAAAGACTATTGTTCTCCCTCATGAGAAAGGGATACCTATTCTCAATTTTGGCCATGATCTCTATCTCACAGACATGAAATCATGATTTGCCCTTAACCCCTTCATCCGTGGGGTCGTCATTGTGAATGGCCGCCAACTTTCGCAAAACGTCGAACAACATAGAGAAAAAGCCTTTAGGCACTCGTGTGCCCAGGGTCAAAGGGTTATAACTACTTTTGTATTTAAGTGTTGCACATGGACCATTTTTACTCATGTTGTGGGACATCTTACTCGTCAACGGTCTTTGTCAGCAATGATAATTCTGAACTTGAGCGCCTAACGAAAATTATTTGCTGTATATAGCAGCATCTAAGGTGTGACAGTTTTACTGTTCATTTTGGACGAAGACGTGAGTCGTATTTTCAAGTGGAGAAAAATAATACTTCATCATCTGTCTCTGCGTTTGTGTTCGGACTGATCCGGAATGGCAGGGTCAGAGCAGCCCACCTTTCTTTGTTGGTAACTTTACAGACTGCGGTGAAAAACTATAATGTGTTCCCTCTGCACTGCTTACTTCTCTAAATTTTACAATAATTATTCTCGTACGATTTTGTTTTCCATGTTATTTGTGTACTCATACGGAAGTTTGCTGCGGTGTTTAAATACATGTAAATATGCCTCAACGAGACATACATAAATATGCCATCATGTTTTCACTAAAGTTTGTCAGGTTTTAACTTCATTAAAATTGTGCATGGTAATAATTGATACATCTACTGTGGCAATTGGTTTTATTTGTCATTTGTTTCATTCACAGTCAGGCTACCGGTTTGCTTGCTTTTGTTACAGTTGGACTATTTGTTTATTCATTTCTGGTTATGGGAACTATTTTTGTCCCTAATGATATCTTTATGTTACAAATAGAGTAGAGTAGGAAATGATTAAGTGTCAAAATATCTACCATGTAGAGTAGGAAATGATTAAGTGTCAAAACAGTAAACCTTGCTTGATTCTTCTGTCTTGTGTTTTCATCATCATAGTTATTCTCAAAATCCCTTCTAAATAAAAATTCAAGACTGTTTTATTAAATGAGTGTTTCCTTCCTTTCTTTGTGAAATTCGCTTTTAAAGTTTTCGGAAATTGCAGTGCAAGATCATATTCAGTTTTGTAATATACTATATGATAAAAAACATTACTGAACTTTCCACTGAGTGAACATCGTAGCAGAGAACACCGTGGTAGAAAGCTGACTAACCGAAGCATAGATGGGTTTTCTCCCACTTTAGCCGCTTTGACACATATTAGTAGACCTATCCATGTAGAATTCTCACCGACCACTAGGTTAAAAACTAGTACTCCGTTTCAACTGCCGACTCCCTGAGATATGAACGACTTTTAGGCGAGTGGTTTCTGGTTTGGTGGACACAGGGGTTGATTAATGTCGACCTCAGTGCACACTTCGATGTAACCCCTCACTTGTTGTGTTAAACCCAGCGCACACTGTTACTGAACACAAAATATACCACTCACAATACAACCTATTCCTTCTATAACGGATTCAAGGGCCGACTGCTGCATACAGTTTAGGGGTTGGTGAATCCCACAACTATGTTAAATGTCGATACCTTTTTTTCGATCTATCAGTATCAGCTTCTCTAAATCAACTATATCCATGACCGCATTTCGCGCGCACACTGTACACGTTTGTTTTTGAAAGTCACAATCGAATTTGGTCAAATTCGGTCGAATTGCGCCACGACGGTAGCTTTTGTCCCTTCATGGAGGAAAATCTGGCTGGCCTTGACTCAGTTCGACTGAATTCGATCAGCAGAGTGCACTGGGTCAAAGATCCTACATAACAAGATAGTTCACTCGGCCAAAAAAGTGTCCGCGGAAGTCTGCACATTGGTTCAGATGGCGCTGTAGTCTTTGTTTTGAAGCTCTCTTTCGTTTCTCCTGAAGAAGAATAGGAATAGCACAGCTTATTAATTTCGCTTTTATTGTTTTTCACACAAGAAGGGTAACTCTGTTTGCAAAGTCCGCACTTTTTCGAAGAGGGCGCCCCGGATTTTGAGGACACTTTTTCTTAATTGGCTCAAAGAAAAGAGTGAACTATCTACTTAATTTACGATCTTTCAATGGGTGTTAACGATCTATGATAACCTCATTTGAGTGTGTCCACATAAACGAAACGACTCCTCCTGACAAAAGACAAATCGGATAGAATGTCGCGTGCAGCATTTTAGTCGGGCCGTCAGAGCTGACTCATCGGCCATAGGTGAATTTGACTCCGTAACGGTGAAGAATGTGTGTCGATGTAATGTAATCTACCATCAAATCATTCTTGTCTGGAGAAACCTATGCCCATATCAATAACGACTGAGTTGAACTTACTTCCTTCAGCACTTTTCTGGAGGTTTACTGGCCTGTGTGATTGTTTTGTGTGCCCTTTACTTTTGCTGGCAAAAGAAATAAGTTCGTTTGCTGGGAGTAGAAATCTCCGGGGGGTTTTCTGCTGAGATATTCGTGTTCCACACAGGACAGTTGAAACAGCCTGCCTCCTGAAATATATGAAATGGCCCGATGGGGCGAGCAAAATTTGAATCCTTGACGTATTAGGTTCCTTTGTTTTTTCCTCCTCCTTCCTAGATTATTCACTTTCAGTTCGGGGTTCTTTTTTTTGGACTTCTCCATAAGGCTGACTGAATTGAATGCTTTTCTCCAACTTTGTTACATGACCAAAGTAATAAGACAGCTGGGGTTACGTACTGGGCAAACAGACTTCGATGAATACATTTCTGAATTCCATACTCAGTTTTGAAGAGCTGATGTGTTATGAATAGCATTGTGTTGTAAGTGTTTTATCCCCCCATTAACACAATCTTGAGACTCTGAGAGGCAGGTTGCGTCGACTTTAGCTGAGTGGGGGTTACAACACCCCAACAGACTGATGTGAATATACGATTAAACTCCCCACTTAAAATTCGAACTTATATTCTTATGTGTGCGACAGCCAAGAGTCTAGGTCTAACTATTATGGTAAAGGACACAACACAGAATAATAGGTAAACATGATCATTAAAGTGCCTCACCCAACTCGTAAGAAAGCTGTATTTTACACTCAAAGGCTAATCACAGAGACACGATATTTCACTGTCTTAGCTGGGGACCTACACCAAACCTGGAAGAGTGAGGGAAAACCCATGTAAAGTGTCTTCAGGCAAAGCCACAAAGTCTGCTCCTTACCAGAATTCTTACTCGTGACTTTACATTTCGGAGTCCAGCAGCTTAGTCAGTAGGCTACAGTTGATAATGATGTGAAAATGTAGTCACTACAGTTTGCGACGTAATGCTCTCAGAAGCGATTGGATAGCGTTTCCCCATAGGTTTGGTTTTTCTTGGGGGTCGGGGGGGGGGGGGGGTGTTTTGGGTTTTTGTCTGAGTTTTTTTAAAAGTAACTCAATTGATGGCGTATTAAGCTGATGATTAAAAAAATGAAATTCTTCAAAAAGTTAGGTTAAACAGGACAAAGGTCATCATCATCATCATCATCATCATCATCATCATCATCATCATCATCATCATCATCATCATCATCATCATCATCATAATCATTATCATCATCATCATCATCAACATCATCCACATCATCATCATCATCATTATCATCATCAAAATTATCATCATCATCATCATCAATAACTCTATCATCGTCACAACAATCATCATTTAAAAGGGTCAATTGTTTTGCTTTTGTTTTATTGTTTTTAGTTGCCTTATTACAGTCACTATTTTCAACACAAAGATCAGTCCTTTTGCATTCCAACAGAACAAAATAAAGGTGAAATTGGAAATATTGCGTGATTGCACAAAACTAGACTATGTATGTATTAGCCTATTACTATTGCAGGGAGCAATACTTAAGACGAACACTGCTCTAAGGTATGTACATAAAATGAGGTAAAATTAGTTTACCAAAATGCAGTTAAGTTACACCGAATCTGTGTTTTCTGTGTGAGTATAATTGTCGAAAAATATCACAGAACAGTAGCATGACTTTTAAGGCTGGTCTAGAAAGAGATAATACGTCTTGCAACTTAAAATCAAAACTGCTTTTGGGTGGATATGCATCTAGATAATTTTACGATCTGATTCACAGGAAGGAAAATGTTTACATTATGCTGTTAGATAATATGTGTAGTTAAGAACTGAGTTTTATTATGCTTCTTCATTCGAGGCTTAAAGAGATTTCAACTGTGTCCAACACAACAAAATGAGCTGAGTTATTCAGCGGCGACGTGGTCCTGAGACCCTTGTCCCTTTATTCTGAAGCCCCGTCCCTTAGGCTGGGATCTCCGTCCCTTGTGCTTGATTCTCGGCCTCATCCTGCTCCGCCTGTCTGCCAGCGTCGCCTTCGTCGCCAGCCATACCCCAGTTCGAGTGCGTCTCTATCGTCTCCAAGATCCAAGGTCTGTACTCGGCAACCCTCGTATAGATGCCGGGGAAATCGACCAGGGCACACCCCATGCCCACCGACACGATGCCCGTCACTTGCAACTGGCCTTGGCCGTCACGACAGACGAGGGGGCCGCCGGAGTCACCCTGAGAGCAAGAGACGGAGAAATGGACGGATTGATGACAAAATAAAATTAAAAGAAAAAGAAAAAGGGCTAAAGTCAATGTTTCCGAGTTTAGAAGAAATCTGAGTTCTAACTTCAGAACTCACTATTCTTTATGTTTTTTTCTATTGTATCCTCTTTTTAAAAGTCTCTATAACTAGGTCTACGACGGATAACGCCTGGTATTTGGTTTAGTGATGTTGTAAGTGCACCATGGAAGGTGTTTGTGACTTTAACCTGTGTCCGTGGAGGCCTACATGTGGGTGTGTAAATGAGTTTAAAGGGTCAGTTTGTGTATATTTTCATAAATTACTTTGACTGCTGCCAGCCAAACTAAAGTAGACATTCCCGACGATGATTTGAAACCAACTATCTGTGTGCTTATCCTCAGAGTAGAGGAGTTGAAACTGTGTTCAAGAGCCAGGTAGTAAGCCAGGGTAGACATATGCAGCAAATAATCCATTATGGAACAAAATACTTTGTCAAAAGGATGTTCTAATCACTTCAGAAGACGTAGCCTACGTATAGTGTTTTACTCAAAGTAAGTACACAAGTCGCTGATGACCTGTTTTGATGAAGCCTATGGAAGGGAAGTAATCCTGTTAATGTTTTATACTACGTAGAGTAGTAGCGTTTAACTACCCCCTTAATGGCAAGTAGTTTTATCTGCGTCCGCTCTGTGCGATTCAGTGAGCTCCATAATCAGACCCTCTGAAGATTTCAGTAAGGGTATAATAATACAAAATCATACTCTCGTTACATAATCATACTATAATAGAATTTCACTTATTTTTAGTACATGTACATAATCACATTCTTACAGGACTTCAGTAAGGCTTAAATAATGCTTTTTCATACTCGAACTCCTAAGTTTATTTTTGTTTGTTACTTTTTTCCCCCTTTCTGAAAATGTGACTAAGTAATTTTTAAAAAGGAGTTTGTTTTTACCCAAAAAAAAAGAAAAGTAAAAACGTCTGGCCAAATCATTTTCTCCAAGACAGCTTCTCAACTTCATCAGTTGGACTTTTTGAACTGAACACAGATGACTGACATCAAAAGATGTCTGCTAGATGGATTACGTGGTCAATTAAATTCTGATCTAGTGCTCAGAACGTATAAACCAGAAAAAAGCATCAGCACCACAAAATCACACAGACCAACCAGCCAATAGAAGTCACGTAAATCAGATATTTCTCTTTTTTCCTTCTTTTCTTTGTTTGATAAGGAAACACTAAGTTTCAGAAAAGAAAGGACACTTCGGTCATTGTCAACTTTAGAATATATATATTATATATATATATATATATAAATATATATATTATATATATATATAAATATATATATATATATATATATATATATATATGTGTGTGTGTGTGTGTGTGTGTGTGTGTGTGTGTGTGTGTGCGTGTGTGTGTGTGTGTGTGTGTGTGTGTGTATGTGTGTGTGCGTGCGTGTTATATATATAATTTACCTCGTTTCGTCCCAGACTTATGAACGACAAAACGTGGCGGAAGCATTATTATTTTCTGATGTTTGCGCGTTTTTCTGAGCGACAGGATTGCTGCGCTTTCAAAGGTAAACAGATGGCGAAATTTTGCCAAAAAAGGCGGGTCACGACTACAAAAGCTCCGCCCACACTAGGAAATATAAAACTTCTACTCGTCGCTCGACTGCAAAGAGTGATGTCACTTAGCGGCTTAGAGAGGCGAACGGGTGAAGATTGTCTCAGTTGCATACTCGCAGCTGTTTGATGAGTGGAAATGTACCAAGTGTGTGAGGGGCCTAACTCTTCCTCCCTTTCGACTCTTGCTTGGTAGTCCAGGTCTTCTTTTAAGAGTTAGTTGTGTGGACGGTCGCAACGTTCCAAAAGTTCTCGTCGTGTCATAACAATACGCCTATATTTGTATAAACATTATACTTTTGCAGTTGTTGTCATTGTTGATCTTGTTGTTGCTGCTGCTTCTGCTTCGGCTGCTGCTGCTGCTGTTCTTGTTGCAGTTGTTGCTGTTTTTGTTGTTGTCTATATTGTTGTTGCTATTGTCTTTATTATCACCGTAAAACCTTACTAAAACTAAATTATCATTGTTATGGTTGCATTGTTGCATTGTTGTTGTTGTCTCTAGATAGAACAGTGTTATGCGTCATTCCAATGACAAACCTTGCAGGTATCACTCCTGGTGTTGGAGTTGAAGCACATGACGCGCTGGTCAATGAGGGGCCAGAACTTGGCGTAGGCTCTCCGACAGTCGGCCGTGGATACACGCTTGACGTCGATGACATGAGGCACGATGGTACCGTTGCCGTACTGGGGCTGTCCGTAGTCGTCTGAGGTGGGAAGGGCAGGGATGTAAAAGGGGAGGGTAGCGGGAGGAGAGAGAGATGGGAAAGGGAGGAGGGGGGGGGAGAGACAGAAAGATGGAAAAGGGTGGGAGGGAGTAAAAGAGAGCGGAAGATAGAGGGACAGAAAGAAAGAGAGATACATGAGGTAGGGGGAAAGGGGGAGATTAATAGATATAGAGGTAATGAGTGAGATTGAGGGAGGCAGGTAGGAAAATAAGGCGGGATAGAAGAGACAGAGAGGGGGGGGGCAGAGAAGGAGAGAGAGGGGCAGAAAAGGAGAGGGGAAGAGAGAGAGAGAGCGAGAGGTACACGGAGAGATATATAATATAGATTAATAGAGAGAGACATATCAATAGATAGATAGATAGATAGATAGATAAATAGATAGATAGATAGATAGATAGATAGAT